AATAGATTTGATTGCTCTATAGGCACCATTTCCGATTTCCGATTGTCTATTCAATACTTCATCAGTATTAAAAGTCCTAATTCTAATTTTTTCATTCATTATGTTGGTTATTTCAATTCTTTGTATTGCAACTTGATGCTCTCGAATGAGTTGGGGTTCAATAGCAGCCAGACGGTGATAGCCATCACGGGACAACAAGGATTCATCACATGCTCGAATAGTAGCATCTAATTTAAAAAGTTCCATTTTCTTATTAAATGAATGATAATTCAAATTAACATTTTTATTATTAATGTCCAATTGAATACTGCGCACATGAACAAGGGGCTGTTAATTTTTTGTAACTAATTGATGTTGTAAAATTAGTGATGACAATTCTTTTTCAGATTCTTTTCCAAAGGCAACAAATCGCTTATTTTGCCCTGATGTTGATTGCACACTTGAAAAAGGTCTTTTTTTAATGTTTTTTTTTATTTAAAGGTGCTGAGGTTACATTTGGGCTGTAAGATGATTCACTGTTTGATTGCTCATCGGAATTTCCACTACTAGAAAACTTCAAATACCATTCAAACACCTTTTTTTCATCTTTAGGAATTCCTACACCATGTTGGTAGCAATTTTCAACATTTGATTGTCCATTAGAATTTCCGCCCTTAGCAGATTTCAAGTATTATTTAAAAGCCTTTTTCTCATCTTTAGGAACACCTATTCCATTTTGGTAACAGTTTCCAACATTTAGTTTTCCATCAGAAGTTCCACTCTTAGCAAATTTCATATACCATTCAAATGCTTTCTTTTTGTCTTTAGGAACGCCCATCCCATTTCAGTAGCAATTTCCAACATTTAATTGTCCACTGGAATTTCCACCCTTAGCAGATTTCAAGTACTACTCGAATGCTTTTTTCTCATCTTTAAGAACACCTATGCCATTTTGGTAACAATTTCCAATGCTTAATTGTCCATAAGGATTTTCACCCACAGAGGATTTCAAGTACCATTCAAATTTCTCTTCCTCATATTTAGAAATACCTATGTTACTTTGGTTAAATTGTTTATTAGAATTTTTGTCATTTGTATGCTTTTTGTTAACCTTGTATGTTGAATTTAATCCGTATTTCTGTTTTTTATTTAGGCTTGAATTTCTATCAAATACCACCAACTCTGTATAATGTTTATGACAAAGTTAATCGTTTAAATTAAGCTCAACCTTCAAATTTAGAGCAGCTGGGCTTTGCATAGCTTTGGACAAAAGACTTGGTGTTAATATGCGAAACCTTTCTTTAAGACCATGTTCGCCACATATTGTACATAGACCTATGTTTTTACGTGGTCTACCCGCTGGCATTGTCACTAGCAAGAATTTTGGATCTGAAAAAAAGAATTTTGGATCCTTGAATCTGGGGTCTTGTTGAATATGAATATGAAAATTCAAAGTGTATTATATTTAGAAAATGTTTATTTTTACGAAGTCCTAAATTTATTATATTTACTATTGTGTTAAATAAATCAACCAATCAGCATTTATTTTGCAATAATCATATTTTTTGTGATCAGAGTCAAATCCGCCTATATGCAAGTAGAGAGATAACCCGAACTTTCGATGGTGCTACTGTAAAGACTAGACTTGTGAAACAGAGCTAGAATTTGTGAAACTGGGCAAATGTGCTGGTCCTTGGGAAGGGACCAGATGAACCAACCAGGCCGCCAGAATTTCAAGGTTTTGGAGAAAAAGAATACATGCTGGCAAACATGTAAACCAAAAGTATGGTCTCGCCCTACCTTTCCAGGCTATCTGGAATGGCAGCTTAGTGGAACTTGAATTGAATACCAAAGTAGTAAGGATATGTTGTGAAGTCAGTACC